GATAAACTTAAATTTGTAAATATATGTATTTGTATATTTTAGTTATTCTTAAACACTATTCCAATAATATCTTATTATATTTATCAAGCTTTCTATTATAAGCTTAGTAGTGCTCGGTCTTACACCAAGCGCTCGTACTTGTCTATGTTATAATCCATCTTGATGAAATGGCGTTCGTCCAACTTAAATAGAGTTTTCTCTCTACGGTGCTCGGTCATTGACTGACATTCTGTGTTCTTGATACTAAACTCAAATAAGTTAAGTATTCACAAGTGTTCGGTTTCTTCATGTGAATTCTTCTAAGCATTATTCTTTGACTGTCTTGAAGTGTCTATATATATCTTGGTTCCAACCTAAAGCCTTAGTACTTGACATGGATTTTTGGTGTTCGGTCTCTCAAGATTTAGTTCATCTAATTGGCTCACTTTGTAAGTAACGTTCGTCCTGATAGTTCCCTTGAGATATGATTGTACTCAGTTTCTTTCTCAACCCGATAATAATCCTCTCGGTCTTAATCTATTCTAGAACTAGAGACCTCTCGGTCTCGTTCCAAGCGTTCGTTCTTATTCTGAGTTAAAGCTTAAAGTTCGGTATTTGGTACCATTAGTGATCCTTGAACAAATGGTTTAATTGAGATAATTTATAATGAAAGATGAAGAGAATGTGATATGGATTGAAATGTTGTGGATTATGGACGAGCGTTCCGGGGAGGAACGACTCATGAATGAATATTGGAATTGGTAAAGTATGAATGTGGGCATGCTAAGCTGGCGGTTCATCCTGATGTTCCATGAGTACTTGTCCTCACGTAGAGGAGGGTAGGTCACGTGTGGGAACGGCAGGAGGTCCTAGTCCTTAGGGTTACTTTGGACAGATAGGACTAACCTCGGGTGACAGCTGTTGAGGGTATCCCAGTTACTACATCACCCAGGTGCACGAACTCCTGTACCTACACAGATTTCATACAGTCCGGACAGTCAGTCTAGTATTAAGCTTTGTATGAAACGTATGATGAAATATATCTTGTGTATTTGATTATGTGAAAATGTATGTTTATACATGAATTAAATTACATAAGCTTACCCTGTGTTTCCTGTCTTGTCATGTTTTGTACGTTCGTCTTGTCATCTTTTGTAAACCGTTCGGTCAGAATTGTACTCTTGTGCAGCTTTGTTTGTTCGCCCATAATTGTACACTCTTCTTAATGTAAGACTGATTTGTGTATTATTAAATGTGATTATTCTATTATATAGTTTCAAGCTGTATTTTTGGGATGTTACATGGTCATGTTAAGTCTAGAATTTTTTTTTATGATTAGAATTTTCATTCAAGTAAAAGTCTCGAAAAACTATTAAAATCCCAAAATTAAAAATATTAACCAACAAACAACTTTTTAAAAAAAAAAACATTATTTTACTTTTTATATTAAATAAAAGTTCATAAAAACAAAGTTAAACGGATTCAAATAAAAATTTCAAAACTAATTTCCTTTTTGTTTCGTATGTTTTCTTTTTATTTTTTTCGGAAAAACTAAATATTTTAAAAATTACAATAATTTTTTACACAACGGACATGAATATTATAAATGTTAATACTTTCCCTGCACATATTCATCTCTTAAACCCAATTTGGTTTCACAATCCATTCCTTTTATGTTTTTACGTAATTTTTCTAAATAAATTTAAATAACTCGTCTATTTTTATTTAGATCTTTTGTTCACAATACCGATTATGACAAAAGGACAAGGAAAGTACTAAAGAAACAAAAACTATATTTAAACCACACCTAGTGCTTTATCCAACAATGTAAACATAACCTTCATTAATATTCAAAAACTTCCAATTTAGACGGTTTCAGAATATTAATAATCCAAAAACAAGGTAAGAAAACTGAACTCCCGTTCAAAAACTCAAGCATAACTAACCTAAAGTATCTAGCAATAACATCCATAAAAAAAAGTAGCATTTTATGCTTTGATGGGTTCAAGAAAATCACATGCACGAGAACAATTGAAGATCCCTTTTCGACACAGGAAACTCATGTACAAATCAGATACAGTCTACATACACAAGTCTATTCGTCTCAAACAAAAAATGTCGGAGGTCCAATACGAGATCTAATAAAACAGAAAACTGGATTTTATGAAACTGCCATTATTCATATCAAATGCGATACTGCAGATAGTAATTTCATTATCAGCACAACCTTCATTCAAAAATCTTCCGTGAAAGCATACAGAGCGAGTGGCTAAAGGTAAATGCTCAATTTTTCAGCAGAGGCACAAAAATGTGACGTGAAGATTGTTTGATTCTCAGGATTGAGTTTCAGCTCCCGTTTCCTTTATTTGGATTGATGTCTTGGCTAAACTTGCTTCCAATTCATTTAACTCATCCAAGTCCAACTCATCGTCATCATCATCTATGTCATCAAGAGCTTCACCGTCAGCACCGGCTGAGGTGCTAGGACCATCTTGGGTAGCGTTCCCATTACCCTGAAGTTGGATCCGACAATTAGAAAAATGAAAGATACAGCTGATTTAAAAAAGGAGACCATGTTTAATACTAAAAGACACACACATTTGAACTGCACATTGAATAGAGAATGAAATGTAAGAAAGCTGGTGCTAGAGGCCAATACTTCCTCCTGAGACTTGGTTTAATGATTACTTGGTATAATGAAAAACTTAAAAACTCTAATTCATAATTCAAGGCAGAGCACCATGACCAAAGGAAAACAATAAGATTTTATACTTGATAAGAGTATCACCTATAACAACTATTTTCTTGTACACAAATCATTTTTCTAATTGGGTCTTAATTTAAAATCACAACACCATGGTTCCAATAACTAATAGTCTGTTATACATTCTGTTATCCCAACAGTACATAACGGAATATCACCACAGAAATGTACTTAGATCATAAAGAAAACAAAACTTTTCCCGGTGAACAATCTTAATACCCTCACTAACACAAAACCCACCATGAAGGGTAACCACCAATGCAAATAATTCAATAAACTGAAAGAAAAGAAGAAACTATGTTGTTGTAAAGGAAAAATAGTGGAGATAAACGGCCAAATCCATCAAAACACAACTGCACACTACTTTACAGTAACCAGAATAATCAAAGGCACGGTTGCACTTGGGTGTCCCTATACACTATCTTATTTTAATGAGTAAAAATTTTATACTTAATATTAATTTTAATTTTATGTAATCAATACCATCAATAAAGGGAATTCACTCTTTTGGTGTACAGTATTTTTTTTCAGTTTTACTCTTTCAATAACTACTTTTTCAATATTCAAATAATTACTAATAATAAAAAACTATTTTTCAATTTTACCATTTTAGTAACTAAATTTTTAAATTCAAATAATCTATAGCAGATCATTCACTCTTTTTCAAATTTTACCCTTTTAATAACTATCTTTTAACTTTAAATAAACAACTTTTTCCAATTTTATTGTTTTAATAACTACTTTTTTAAATTTAAATAATTAGTCATAATAAAAGGTGTAGAATTTGTACTGTTAAAATGTGTGCAGTTACTTCTGGCATTGGATAGTTTATTTTAATTTTTTTCTTTTTCTAATTTTCAAAATAATAAAAGGTAAAATAAGAATGAAATATGAGAATTGTTCTATGTATTGTTATTGATAGCAATATATAATGGGAATTCCCATTTCATATACATATTTCATATAGAAAATCTATATAAACTATTCATATGCTAAAATTAAGTGCCATATCTCACCAACACAACATCCTACAAATAACTTCAAACAGCACAAGAAACTATAAGTGGAGTGCCTCTTTCCCAATAGTAATAATAAGTATATTTTATTCTGAAAATGTATAAAATTATAAAATTAAAAACAACAAAAAAAATAAATTTTAACTCATTAAAATAAAATAGTGTATAGAAAATACGAGCACACAATGCAGTAGTGCCTGTTTCTGCTGGTTACAACTTTGTATTTTTTGGAACTCATTATATGTGCATTATATCCCATTACAAGAATGGGCTTTTAAAAACAAGCACAAGTTGTGCACTCAATACAAAACAAAGTCCAAGTCCTCCAAGATAATTTGGCAATTCACATTCCCACTACTCTACTAACCACAAGAGCTTCTTTCTAAAATGGAGTGAAGAATCAAACAAAATCAACTCAAAACAATTTGGTACTGCTATCCTGAACTGCAAATTTTTAGCTCAAAATATCATAATGGGGAAAGCATATTCCTAAAAGTTAAGATTATAGAGGACAATCACCTTAAATCAGGGTCTGGAGTCCAAATTGATTCACTAAGTTGCACTAAAGACTGACTTGACACTAATTAAAAAATAGTCAAATTTCCCAAGTGGACAGCCCAATTGTTAACATTCAATACTTTAACTTCGAGGTCTTAAGGGCTATTCATGTTCTTTTATGGAAAAGAATGTTTTTAATTCAAAAACATTCTTTAAAACATCCTAACCACACGTTTTTTTAGAAAAAAAAAACATCAAAAATGTTTTTCTAGTGTTCTGTTGAAATCAAAAAGCTAAAAGTATTATATTAGTTAAGCAAAGAAAACCTACACAAAAAGGTTTTATAGAACATATATATGAGTGCATTTTCTTCTAAAACCTATCTAAACCCTCACCTTTGTTTATGTTTCCATGGAGGAAAAAAAATTATTGAAATTTTAAAAAATGAATGCTTGGTTGAAAAGAAAGTGAAACAAGTTGACTTGGGAATCAAGTTTCAATTTTTCTCCTCCAAGTTTTCTCTACAATTCAAATTTCAACTTAATCAGGGTAAATACTAGTTGAAATCAAACAGGATAGAGGGGCAGCAAGAGCTCAAGCAACACCCTAATATGTATCCAACGACCCAGTTAATTTCAAAGCAAAGCTTAGCAATACACAAGTTATTTATCTAAAAACTTAATCACTTTACTTAAAATTTATTTATATTTATAAAATGAGAGGGTATATCATGATTAAAGATTACAGTAGCACTCATAGTTCCATTACAGATACTGCAATTTACTCATCACAGTTACAGAAATTCAGTATCAGCCAAATTGGCCATATTTTTTTAAAATGCTTGCAACTGACAGATTTATTTTGAACAAAAAGGCACAACATTCCAGTAACTGTGGTCGCACTGCAGCTTTTTATGTGAACGGTAATCCTCTAGTAGCATTTATCTCAGATTTGCAATCACCAGGTTGGTTATCAGAATTTGAAATATACTAAACCAAATTTGGAGATGTTGAGAAGACAGACAAGAAAACTTACATTCTGTTCAGTTTCATCATATTCTGGTTCTCTCTGGTATTTTTCATATGCTTCTGCATCGTCCACAAACAAGCTAGCATTTGACAGAAACAGCTCCCGACCACTGCATTGGAGGAGAAAACAATGTAAAATAGTGTCCACCTTCATAACAACATGCACATACGATTTTTTATTGAGTAAAAGAAGGTGGGGGCCATATACATACATTCACATGTGAATATAGGTAATGGATAATGGATGTACCTCATACGGTCATTCTTAGCCCTCTCTGCCTGCTGTGCGGCTAAATTGGCATCTCTTTCTTCTATCTTCTTCTTCTTCCATTCATAGAATAAGTCGGGAGTCATAGGAGTCGTGGTTTTCACTTTGGCACGCTATACCATGTAAAATATTGTTAGATGACCTAATAAAATATTATGACATAGCTTCTAACAAGAAGGAAAAAAAATTCACCTGATTTTCAATCTCCTCCTCGATTGATAATTTGTCAGCTTCTTCCTCTAACAAAGCCTTCATTTGGGATTTCAAAACATAACCAGGTGGAAGAGCATGTCTATAATGGCAATTCTTACCACCATTGGGGCATTCCCAAAACCACCCGTATTGCTTCTTTTCTACAGCATCCAAAAAGTATTTGCATACCTGAACATATCAGCCAAATAACAGACAGCAGTCATTTCAAGTAGCACAAGCCAAACTACAAAAACAACTTGAAAATAATGCAATACCACCAAACATCCAATAGAAGCCTCACAATTAACCACAAAAAGAGTAAATGAATACCAAACAAATAGATTTAATAGTTAAGATTCCAAGTCCAACAAATCTAACAAAACATACAATGTCAGTCGCTTTATTCTGATTATAATCAGATTTCTTCGACTCCACCACCTTCTCCAAGGTCTCTTGATCCCAGTCCTCCATTGTTTCTGACAACATGAACCAAACCACGAAGTTAGAAAAACAAAAAAAAAAAGTTTTCAAAGCCAAAAAAATCAAAAAACAACTATCATCATTGAACTATCTCTATGCAATACCCTGGTCACGCTTATCACTATAAATGTCAATTTTTTCCCCTTTCCTCTGAACATTCAAATCATGCGAAAACTTGCACTTGAAGCCTTTGGCGCATTGCCCGACTTTATAAAACTCACACACTATAGACTTGGGATCAACACCTGAACAAAGCAAACTCAGATATATTAGCTTCCACTTTCCATCAACACTGATAAAAGAAAATAGTACTTATAAAATGATTATTTCATTACCAACTGGCACTTTAGGCTGAGTAACAGCGATTTTGAACAAATCATTTAGCTCCTTCTCCTTGGCCTTCTCTTCCTCCTTCTTTTTCTGTCATCACCATCACAAACAAATTTTTCTTAAGTAAAAATTACAAATCAGTTATAACCCATGATTAACAAAAAAGAAAACAGAGATACATATATATCATGTACCTTGGCATCGACTTTGGCAGGATCGACCCTGGGCTGCACTGATTGCTTAAGGTTCTGGACATACTTCTGAACATTTTTGCTCTTGTTTTTGTTCTTGAGACCGAAGGTTTTGTCCTCTACAATCTTCTGCTTCTTCGCTAAATCAGCTTTGGATTGCTGCTTCGGCGGCATATTTTATCGGCATCAAAAAATTAAGAACAAATATATGTGTTAGATAATATTAATTGCTTCGATGAAAATTAATAAAGGTATGAACGAAGGAAGGATCTGTGTGGTGCAAAGGAGGGGATGTTGAGAGGGGAAAGAAGTTTGCTTTTTGTTTGGGTGGGTTAGGGTTCGAAGGTGAGAGGCAAGGGGTGGTGTAGGTTCCAGAACATTATGAAGGGGTTCAATTCCCGATCTACCCCTCCAGTGCACACTTGATAGGTTAATCTTAAATCCTCTTCACTTTAAAATGGGCCCAATGCATGAGTTACAAGGATTTGTTCTTTGAACTCAAAAGGATAAGGTATTTTTCATTTCCATCTCACTTATTTAAGTCTCAATTATATACAATTTAAATAAAATATTTTGGATTAATATTAATTACAGTAATTTTTATACATTATTTTATATATTAATTTTAGCTATTAAATTTATTTAAGAAACTTAATAGGTAAAATTTATATTATAGTATAAATTTAAGAAATTTAATAGCTATTTATTTAAGAAATTTAATAGCTAAAATTTAAAAGGGATAAAGGCATACATGCTCTCTGTTTTTTTGGTTATCTATATTATTTATATTATATTATAAACATATTTTCTTCTTTTGCATATATAATATCTTTTACTTAATATCCTCTTTATGGTCCTTATTTCTGTCAAGTGTGTTTGATTTGGTTTCAGTTTTTTTATATATTCAATATTGTCCTAAAAAATGTAATTTTTGTTCAATTTAGTCATTTTTGCAAATGGCATTTAAATCGTTAATGGCAGACAATTTAACTACTGTCACGTCAAAAGTAGAGTCTTCGTGGCAGCTAGGGATAGCAAAAAAAAACTCGTACCCGCGGATACTCGCGGATAAAATCCGCTACGGGTATTTAGTACCCGTGGGTAGTAGGTAGCGGGTATTTTAATACCTGCTTGTTAACGGGTCAGGTACGAGTATCACACTATCCGTACCCGTAGGTACTCGTTATCCTTTAGAAAAATGAAATTACAATTTTATCCATTAGGTTTTTTTTTCTCACTTTTTAATTAGGCTTTTTTTTGTGAAATCTTGCTTTAAAATTGGGCCAAGCCCAAATCCCTTTTTTAGGATCTCATGTGTAGTCGCACCATTTGAAATTCCCCGTAGAAGCCGCTCTCCACCAACATGCTCTTTCATCTCATGTTACAATGCTCATTAAATGCTTCTTTCTCTATGGAAAAAAAATGAAACTTTCAGGTAAAGGCAAGCTCAAACCCAAAAGCTGAATTTAGAGGTTTCTGCCCCATGCCTTACCACATATCCATTCTCCACCTTTCCCATCGAACAAACACTTCTCCACCGATTGATCTTGATTTCCACCGTTCAACCTCTTCTTTTCAACCCAGAGTGCATCGACGAGGCACGCACAACGGTGACGACTGAATCTGCGACGAGGCGGTAGAGGTGGCGGACAAAGTGGTCGACGACGTGAGGAGACGGCGATGAGAGGCAGATCTGAGATGCTTTGGTGCAGATCTGAGATGTTTTGGTGCAGATCTAAGCTTGGACAAAATGAAGTCAACAACTTTTGGAGTCACGATTTCTCTTTGAAGTGCATATCTGAGACGCCTTGGAGTAGATCTAGGGTTTGAGTTTTTTTTAAGAAAAAAGGAGAATAGAGTTTGGGGCATTGGGCTTGATTAAACAGGTATAAACGGGTATCCAACGGGTATCCGCGGATTAGAAAAAAATTCGCGGATTTTTTTATGCGGGTACCAGGTGGGTAGCGGGACGGATAACGAGTAGAATTTTTACATGTGGGTCAAGTTCGGGTATCACAATATTCGTGCTCGACCCGACCCGTTGTCATCCCTAATGGCAGCCCCTTTACCACCCCCAAAATTAGGGTTCTGCATTTGGGGGAAACCTTCCTGCGACGCGAGAAGAAGGAAAACGATGCTCGCGGTTTTGCTTCGGAGGATGATTTCGCATGTGCGCCTCATGGTAGCATGAAGAAGACGAACCTAGTTATGTAAGAAAGCACTCATGGTGGCCGGTGGAGGCAAGCAGCGGTGCGATTCTAGGTTTCTTTGATTTGGGATTTTTCTGGATTTCGTTGTGGTTCTCTACAGGTTGGAGAAGTTGATGACCCTAGAGCTTTGCTCGACGGCGACAAGGATTGTCGTGCTGACGATGAAGCTCTCGATTTGGATGATTCATGGCTAATGCGCGAGAATGAAGATTCGAATGGAGTTCGATATTAGGGTGGCTTGCGGCATTATTGAAGGTGAAGACTTAGCGGTTTGGGTGGTGTGATTCAACTTTCTCTGTTTCTGGGTGCTTGTGTTTGATTTGCAAGTACGAGATGCTGGAAATGGCGGCTTGAGAAAATCTTGTGATGGCGGAGGCGCGGAGGTGCTCTAGGTAGTGCGGCGACCTGAGGAGAGTTTCGTTATTTTGGAGAGATCGCGACTTTGATGATGGTGGCCATGGAAGTTGTGCGTGATGGCTGCCATGGTTCTCTGCAGACACGGCTTCACAGCGGCATGATGACTTTGGACGATCTCTGCAGAGACGGTGGCGTTAGGGTTCGGTGGCGGCGCTAGGGTTAGGTGACTAGAGAGAAAGTAGTGTTTCGGTTTCTGTTTGGGCTGAAGGTTGAAGAAGATGGTGTTGTGGCAGAAGTTAAATGTCATCTCATTTGGGATTTGCACAGTTGGAGCAATGGTCGTTAACGATTTAAACGCCGTTTGCAAAAAGGACTAGATTGACAAAAATTATATTCTTTAGGACAACATTGAACAGAAAAAGAAAAAACTAGGACCAAATTGAACACACCTGACGAAAATAGGGACCATAAGGGGTATTAAGCCAATATTTTTATTTTTATTTTTACCTTTTAAATAATTGTTTTTTATTAAAATAATTATTTTACCAATTTTATTCTTATAAGTGAATGTTTTTAAATTTAATTGTTTTTTTTTATTATGACCTTCTTTTAAAATTTAACTATTTTTTAAAACTAAAATAATTATCTATGATAAAACTATAAAATTATTTACATTAAGTATAAATATAGAAATAATAATTTTATTACTTATTTTCATCATAGAAAAAAAAAAGTGAATAGACGTGCAAATATTAAGGGTAATTTCATTAATAACATATAAAGATCGGTATGTTTTTATTGGTTACATATAAAAAATATAGAAAATATGACATCTCAGTTTAGTAGTATACAACTAGTCAAATAAATATTACACATTCTATATTTTAGAATAGATAACTCATATATATATATATATATATATATATATATATATATAATGTTATTACATTTATCTCATATATAGGTATAACATCAAAATATACAAAGGTTCTAAGGTCTTGTATAGCTAAAAGGTATTATTACAATGATTAAAGAGCATAATAAAGTTTTTCGAAAGATAATGTAAACATGACCACATAATATCCATACTATATTGTTACACCACTCTCATCTTCCATTAGATTCATTGCTACTTCTTCATGTAGTCACACAATTAAGGTGATCATTGTAAACAAAGAGAACACAAACAAACAACATAAAAAAATTGGTAAGCTAATGTGCAAAATAGTTGATCTAAAATAATCACAATATACCAATTTATCAATTAAACATGTAGGACGTACAACAATTCATATATTCATACCAAAAGTTGACAATAAACTCAATTATTCAGATACATTCATTTGACATTGGGTTTCAACATAGACATGCACTTGTGGTGATATCTATTCTATGCAGAGTCATAAACAAAGAGGTTATTACCTTACCACCTACAAGGTCAATCCCCTTCATGCCTAAAACCAACCGTCCAATGGTTATGGCCTTCTGTGACTCTCACGATATAACTCATTCTACTCTATTTGAGCCTAAATAATTAATAAAGTTCAGGATGACTCCTTTTTTACCCTAATATATCAATGCATACACTAAACATTACCACAACACAGAATTCCTCCTTAGAATTCTCTCAACAACATTTCCAAACATATTCTCAACCATGTTATTACTCAATAAAAACACCATATTACATCTTAAACATACATAAAAACCATAATAAATATACCTCAAACAAGTCACAACATAAGAAACTTACTACATAAACATTGGCGCTCAAAAGTAACGCTCAACGTCAAACCTTTCCCAAAAGATGACAATTAGCAATAGTCTTGACACTCAGCTCCAAACCTTTTGCAAAAGGTGGCGCTCAGCGACAATTCTAGGACTCAATGTCATTCTTTTCGCAAAACGTCACGCTCAACGACACCCTTCTGTTACTTAACATTTTGGAACAAAAATTGTTCCACCTACTGTGAAAAGTGGCGCTCAATGGTACCCTACTACCACTCAATGCCAAAGCATTCACATTTTTCGGGGCTCCGCGATCTATAGCTAAAATACTCTTAGTCCTGCACAATAAATTGGCGATTAGTGCCATCTTGCAACTGCTCATCGTTGTGTCAGATATTAACAAACTAAAATTTATGATTTGGGGAAAAATAATTTGTTCAAATGGTAAAACTAGTATTCTTTACTTACTACTTTAGTAAAAAACAATTTTTAATGTCAAGACACAAGCCAACTTGCTCAATTGATTAGATTCTAAATTCATCAATTCAACACCAATTAAATCAATGCAAAACATAAACTTCAAAACACCTGTAATGTAAGAATAAATGCAATTAGCTTCTCTTACCTAGGAGATAAACTAAAAGCTCAAAAACCTTATAAACACCTCTTGATGCACAAAAAGCTCTATATGCTCCTAAGAACAAAATAAACATGATTAGGGCATACCATTAGAACTACTAATTAGTAAAAACAAGAGTCTATATATATTTTACAAAAACCTAGTTTCAAATAACTTTTCATTTAAATGTTTAAAGTTGTGTTGCAAAAAGAAACTCTCTTGCGTTTTGAAAAGAGGCTTGTAAAACCTAGTGTTGGTAGAACTGAGAGCTTCCATTGAGTGCGTCTTAAGTGATTGTGTACACCTGTTGCGGCTAGGAAAAGATTTTCATCCTTTGTGTGTCAAAGAAAGTGTTTTTCATCTCTTGTCTCTTCAAGAGAGGTTTAGTGTTGTGTTGCATAAAGAAACCCTATGTGTTTTTAAAAGAGGCTTGTAAAACCTAATGTTGGTAGAAGTGAGATCTTTCACTAAGTGTGTCTTAAGTGATTGTGTACATTTGTTGTGGCTAGGAAAAGTTGTTCATTCTTTGGGTGTAAAAGGAAGTGTTGTTCACCTCTTGTGTCTTCAAGAGATGTGTTTTCTAACCTTTACTCTACTCTTTGTGATTGTATGTTATGGTTATTTCTTAGAGATTAGTTAATACCTCTTTAGAGAGATTAACAACTAAATGTTGGGTTTTTTTTATCTTAACCAGTATAAAACTACTCATGCAACTTTCTTTTTCCCTACACTCTATCTTTTTTGTTTTCATTTTTAAATAATCGATTTTTGTTATAAAATCAATTTATTAAAGGAGAAAATTTTAAAAGACACAATTTTAGTAAGTAAACCAATTTCTCTACCTTCTTGGTTTTTGTCCTTATTGTGAATATTACGTTGCGCAATTATAACAATATAAATACATATAAACATTCATATCAATAATTCCTAACAGATGTGATCATTCATACAAGACTCGACCATCTGGATACATGTGTTGATATAATACCTTGACAAGTTATGCACTTGTGGTGACCTATATTGCTCTACACGAGTCATTGTCAATAGGTTTAACCCTACAACACACAAGGTTAGTCCATTAACGTCTTTGGCCAAGATAAAGCCCCTGGACTAGGACCCTATGCTTCTTTCATCACATACCCCAGCCTTCTCTACTTAAGATTGGATGGTTATTAGAGCTACATGATAACTTCCAATACAAAATTCATACATCAATACATACACTATTGAAATCACTACAAGAAAATTCTCCTTGAAATTCCTTCCACAACATTCATCATACATACTCACAACCATGTTATCAATCCATAATACATATTAAACATTCCTCAAATCCATAGTAATCCATCTCAAACAAATTAAAACATCATATACACTAATGCTATGAAGTGGCGTTCAACGCTAGACCTTTCGCAAAAGGTGGCACTCGGCAATAGTCATGGAGTAAAAGGTGGTGTTCAGCAACATTCTTCTCGCAAAACATTGTGCTTAATGATACCCTTTTGTCGCTTAGTGACCTGGAATTAAATTGTTCTAGACATGTAGTGAAAGTAGTGCTCAACGATGACATGCCATCGTTTAGCACCAAAGCGTTCACATTTTTTAGCCTTCATGGGTCTATAACTAAAATGCTCCTAGAACTGCACAATGAACTAACGCTCAACGCAAACTTGCCATCGCTCAACACTGCATCAGAAACCAACAAACTTAAAACTGTGATTAAGGGAAAAAAGACATGTTCAAATGATCAAATTGGTATTCCCTACTTAGTACTTGGTTCAAAAACAGTTTTCAATGTTAAAGTATGTACCAATTTGCTCAAATGTTGAGATCATAAGTTTCTCAGTTCAACATCAATTTAAATAATGCAAACAACACATATATACATCTAAAGAATCAAACTATTCAATCGGTCAAACATCAATATCAACGAAACAACCAACTTCAAACAAACCAAACATGCAAATTAACATTCTCAAAACATTTATAACTTTAAAACAAGGTAATTAGCTTCCTTACTTGAAAGATGACCAAACGACTCACCAAGCCTTAAAACACCTTTAGATGCAGAAGAAGCTCTATCTATCCCTATGAACAACACAAACACATTCAGGACACACCATTAGAACTACTCATCAAAAGAGGCTCTTAAAGAAGACTTAAACACCACATAGGATCCTAGATGGTTGACATGCATAGGAAGACTTAAGAGATTAAAGAAAATGACAAAAAACTAACTTACTCTATTAGAGAAATTATTCATATGGAAATAAAAAGCTCACTCAAAGATTATCTTAACCATCTTCGATATTCAAACAAACAAAGAGGTGGTTAGAAACTGTAGTTCTTATAATTTATTCTTTAAATAATTTTTAGAATTAAAATATCTATTTTATCTATTTTATCATTTTTTTAAAATTTAACCTTTTTTTTTTCATTTTGACCAGTTTTTTTTAAAGTTAATCGTTTTTTAATTAAAACTATGTATAAGATATCAGCATAAACGTAAATTTTATAAGATATTTAATCTTCGAAATGTTTGATTATCAAATTATCATTTCCTTACTAATAGATAAGTTTTATAAGAGTATTTGAGCAACGTGCAAATTTCTTACCACTGGCTTCGCAGCTTCAACATCACAGTAAAAAGAATTTCTTTCTAATAGAATAATTTATCGAGAATGACATATTCAAGAAGGTGCTAGCACTGTTACTTATTATCCGTGCCACCTAAAAAAGTAAAAAATATATTTTATTACTTTTCGGTTATTTGTGAAAAAATATTCATGATTTTCTTTATATATGAAAATATTCATAATACATATAAATATTTTTTATATTTTATTTTTCTTAAATTTAAATAAAATTATTTGAAAAAAATATTTAAAATAAACAATCATTTTTAAAATACAATTCAAATCAAATTAATCATTAAAATATTGATGTCATGTAAACTTAAATAAATTACACAAAAATATAAATTTCATAAAATTTCTTTTTAAAATAACTTTAATTTTATAAACCTAAATAAAAAATAAAAAAATATAATATTAAATTTTAAATAATTTTTTTAAAATTAATAATTTGTTATTTATAATTTGATCACTTGATTTAAATAAAATTCACAAATAATTATTATACGAAAAAAAAAGTATAAAAGATAATTATAAGCAAAAATATATCCCATGATACGCATTCTCAACCCCATCAACAAATTAGTAATTAAATATCAGTACTCATTACCATCCCAACCAATACTTGAGTGTTCTCCCACTGGGCCATGTTTAGCCAAACCAAAATCAGATAGCATTTAGTGTTACTTTCCAAGCACTATCGCTAATCAGATACAATCAATTCAGTTCTGAATTAAGAGCAACATCAGGTGAAAGTCAAGCAATTCTAAAGCACTCAAGTTTTATAATTTGATAAACTCGGTACCACATTTACTGATGGAAGAACAGGAAAACAAGACAGAAATTTGTAAACTCAATCACAACAAACAGACTACAAACTTAACTTTGGAACAATTTAGGATACTTAAAATTAATCCATGTTCCAAGCGTAAATTGGGTGGAGATGCTACCTAGCTGTTGGGGACAAGTAGTGGAAAACCAACCATTTCAATCCTAGATACTAATATATCACTCAGAAGTTCAGCCGCAATTTCAAGGGCAAAACCTTGTACTGGTCGAAGACAATTGCACGAGGCCTATAATGCTTCCAGTTTGGAGCTAGCTCGAACAAAACACAAGCATTTCAAAAGTAGTTGAGTCTTATAATTCAATAAATCTGGTCCCCTGTTAAGTGAGGCAAGAACAAGAAGAAACAGCAAGACAAAATTACAAACGCAATCTGAAAAACATAGACTGTCCACATAATTTTTAAACTTCTTTTCAATGAATGATTCTTCAGAACTCATCCACGTTCCACTGTAAATTGGGTGGAGATGGTACAACATGACTAAGCGGTTGGGACTAGTGGCATAGCATAACCACCATTCTAATTCTTAGTTATTACATTACTCACGGGTCACAGCCAGTCCTTCTGCTGCAACTTCAAGGGCAAATAGACTTCTGAAAGATATTGAAAACCAAAGGTACTCAAAGCCTGTATTTCAGCCTTCTGCTTAGTTTTGACCATCAAAGTCAATTCCTCAACCCAACCTGGATTTTTCTTCACAAAATCCTCCTCCAACATGTCCTTCCCAGTCTTAATATCCTGCTCCGTCATTGGCAACCTACACTGCTCAGGTATCTTGTACTTGTCCAAATCACTAGGCCTAACCCCAAGCCACTTTATATCAGGGGTAGTCAAGTTGGCACTGTCATAGGACATGTTCTTTGACCCACACCCATAAACCGACAGAATCTTCAGCCCATAAGGATCACTGTCAACAAGAGCCAGCACTGGCAGCTTCAACTCCGTCTTCATCTTCCTCAAGAACAGCCTAGTGGAAACATCTGGCTGGCCCTTTGCAGTTACAATTATACAGGGAAAGCGGTTGTAGAATCTATCCTCAGCCAACCTCATATAAGCAGCATCCTTCTCCACCAACAGAATGAACAAAGCATCGCTCTGCATATCCCCAACTCGGTCAATATTCGGTGGAATGGCCTTCCCACCCATCCCCATTTTAGTGCAATCAATCATATCCCCATTGTCACTGAAAATTAACCTCCCAACCACCACCCCTTTCTCTGCAGCAACAACATTGAGGCTGGACCGAGTGCATCCCAGCATGCATGAAACATCATCCAGAACAGCATCGGATTGGATCTGATTAACAATAAAATTTGTTGCATTGCTAATTTTTTTTTAAAAAACCAATATCATTAGAAAAATTGCTAAACGATTATTTATTTGAGTTAATGATATTTTTTGTTTCTATTAGATTCCCAATTGTTACTTTTTGTCCCTGATTTTCAAAAGGCTCCACTTTTCATCCCTACATTTTCTAAATACCCAAACTTATAGTTTAACAATCTAGTTCTGTTACTGTACAATTACTTTACCATCTTTCTAACTATCATTCATGAAAAAATAGATTTGGCCCACTTGATAGACAGATTATCAAGCAACTTTAAAAAACAAAATATTTTACTAGAGACTGCAGATTCCCCTGTGGGTGGCAATCTACAAATGACAGAGACCACTCTATGCAGCAAAATTCTCTCTTTGAATGTCTAACGCACTTGTGTCTAACAACATTTTATACCGCCAGTTAAATTGAAACAGGCTAGTAGCAGTTGATCCACACAGTCAGTTGTTAGACTACAGAGTTAAGCAGATTGTTAACTAACCTAAGATTCTTCACAAATTAAAATCAGTTTATACATGAATATAAAAAATCATCCTTCAGATACGCCAACACTACAGAAATTCTACAAATTAGGTTTCACATAAGCTAAAATTAGCTCTTAGAGGAACACATTAAAGTTTTCCGTATTATATTTTCTCACAAAAGTCGAAATGAAGCAACTTAATCAAGCATGCTAAGAAACGAAAGCTTGGTATGATGCAAATCTGTAAATGCAGGCATGAAAAGTAGAGGTTTTCAAAGTCAGGACGATGACGACAACAAATAAGATGGTCAATTTCACATAGAAAATGAATCACTAACCCTTTATTTATTGATTGGAAGAGAAGTGGGATGCTATGAATAGATAGATGATACCTGGTCTTGGAAGAGTTTAACGTCGGTGTAGAAGAGGTCACGCTTGGTGACATGGATGCCTTTGAGGCAGAGCTGGTGGATGAGTTGGAGGATGCGGGCGGTGATGGCGGACTTGCGCACGGTGGAGATGTTGGCGAAGGGGCGTTGGGAGGACTTGTCCTTCAGCACGATGCGGTCCAGTTCCGCCACGTAGAGCTGGTTGGCGGCGGAGCGCGACGGCACGTCGAAGGAGAAGCCCTGGCCGGAGATGATGGAGTGCGCGATCTTCAGGATGAGGGACTCGATATTGGACTGCACCGAGGAGAGGGACAGGTCGGCCACCTCGCGGCACCGGAACGGGAGGGTCAGGTCCTGGAGCGTTAGGGCTTGGGGAACCGAGGAGGAAGAGGATGCGGTAGAGAAGTCTTTTAGGGTTTCGAGGATCGATGCGTCGGGTTTCAGCTTGTTCTTGAAGGGTTGTTCGTCATCGATTGAATCCTTTCGCCGGCGTTTTTTGTTGTCTGCCATTGACGGGCGGGAAATGACACGAAACGAAACGCTGGATTTGACCCTGGTAGTGAGTAGGACTGAACGAGTGTTGTTTGCTTGCTTTAATTTAGTTCTTATTTTTTTCTTGGATAAATTAAGTCTTAAAATTATTATTTTTTTAAGGTTTAAATTCGGACGCTATGTTTAATTTTGTTATAACGCGTTAAGATTGTACTGAGGTAAGAGGTAAGAGGTAAGAGGTAAGAGGAAGAGTACACGTATGTGGGACTTCAATTTCAAACGTAAAATTCTGCCAAAATCGTCAAACCGGTTTAAAAAGATTCAATTCGTTTTCAATTCCCTTTCTGGATCTGCCCGTTTTTCTATCATATTTATTTATGGTTTAATCATTCCAATCACCTAGTTCTCGTCACCACCTCCACCACCGTCCCGTCGGTTCAGCGTGACCGAAGAAGAAGTGACCCAGTGGTTAGATTCAAAGCTATGTGGGTCAATTCTATATGTGTCATTTGGTACAGAGGTGGGTCCCACTTCAGAGGAGATGGAAGAACTCGGTGGAGTCATGTGAAGAACATTCGGGTGATTTAGACCAGTTCAAGTATTGGAGGTAGTGAAGAAAGGTATTTTAGGAACAAAGGTATGATAACACGTGCTGGTTTTGATTAAATTAAACTTATTTAAAATTGTAAACAAAAAAATTCATATGGGATGACCAAACTCTGACACGTCAAAAAAAATTACTCAATCATCAAGATTTGAAATACAATTTTTAACTTCGTCCAATTCAATTAACGGCAAGATCTAAATTGAGTCAATTTTTCAAAAAAAAAAAGATCTAATTGAAAACATCTACAATATGAGAACCTATTTGAGACAATTATGCACAAATAGGGATGTCCGAAATGATTATACTTTTTTTTATTTAATTTGGTTATAATTTTCTTTTAAATTCTCGGATATTAGTTTTATATTTATTCTAGTGTTTCGGGTATAGGGTTGAAGACCAAACGAACGTTGATCAAAGCACTTCAAGTTGAAGACCGGACGGACGTTGCCCAAGGCACTCGAGGTTGAAGACCGGACAGACGTTGTCCAAAGCACTGAAGACCGAACGAGCGTTGCTCAAAGCACTCCAAGTTGACTTGAAGACCGGACGAGCTGCCTAGTAGTTCTCTAGTTGGCACGTAGGCCGGACGAGCTCCCTGGTGGTCATCCTTCCTCCTCCTTGTCCAAGTTGTGTGAGTGGGCACCTGCCAAAGGCACTCCAACGCTCAAGTTAGTAATGTAACCGAGCGGTTGGAAGAGCAAGTAGTGCATGTCTATTGTCCATCGTGATCTTAAAGTCATACCTGAGCCCTTTATTTATACTAGTTGTGATGGGCCTTTACCTTTTGCCGGCCTAAGGTCCAATCAAACTTTAATCAACATTAGGGGCTTAATGAGTCATTATTGTTTATAATCTAACCATGTGGTCGACTCGACCTAGGTGCTCGGCCTAATAATCAACCGCTCGGTCAAGTGACTGACCTAGACGGTGGGCTTGGTGATTGGTCGGTCAGTCGGCCAGCTGATGGTGGGCCTTGTCTGAGGATGACCTAGTCTAGTGGTGCCGGGAGATTGTTTGGTACACGAAGGAGCTGGGAAACCGTACGGAACAACTAGAATCTAAATTCGATCATTAAATTTTAAGTAGTTTGAATGAAGTCTTTCTTTTTGAAATGTGTATCAAAGCTCAAATTGTTAATAGTGTATAAATAGTTAACGATGGTTGGACATGATGATCTGAATTATTTTATTATGTGAAATTGGGGATTAATTAATTACGTGAAATTGGTTAGTTGGAGACCTTTGTTGACATAAGAATTAGGGATTTGGTGCACATTCTTGAAAATTTAAGGATTTCTAGACGAATAGAACAAAAGACAAACTCAATCAGCTAAGGATATTGTTGAAATAGAATGGCTCAATTTCTCACACCAAGAGGGGGGTGAATTGGAGAAGTGTAAAAACAAAAGCTTTTAAAATCTTTTTCACAAAAAAATTAATGCCTTTAAACTTTTCTTGAATTGCATGGTAAAAGATTTTCAATGCAGCGAAAACTTAATCGAATGAGTACAGAAAGTAATCGATTGAATAAAAGAGAGTAGGGATCAGAAAATTCAAACACTGAGTTTTTATACTAGTTCGGCCAAGCCTACATCCAGTGTCCTTCCAACCATGGGAAGCCAATGTACTATAAAGATCAAGGTTTTCACAACAAGGTTTTTATAGAGACCTCGCATCAAAAATATAAAACACCTCTCTAAGCCTCTAATCTAATATAGGTAGTCAACAACAAGAATCCCCTCTTCTGCCGTCTAACCCCTTTGATGCACCCTCAAAGTCAAGAACACACATGTTCTTCTTCCTGTAGTCACAACACGAAACTCAAACCAATCTTCACAATATTGTAGAATCTGGTCACGTACTTACACCCAAGTGTGCAGATTTTATCAGCCTTTGAAACATAACAGTCTTGCTCACCACGGTCAATCTTGTTTCTTGGAGTTTTTCCTCTCTTTCCGTAAGATCACACTTTCTATAAATGATATGAGAAATGTTAGAATCACCAAAAGTTCATACATAATTCAAATCTGCGTCAATTTATAGTATAACACATATCAGACGCATTTTAATCGATTGAGCTGATAACGTAATCAAATATAACAATCAGTTATAACAAAATTAGCAACAGTCAAACAAATAATTGAATGTACAATTAATACAATCAACTTGCAATAAATGATTAGTCAACATATTTAAAAATATGACCGTTATGTCAGTTGTGACAAGCATTTAACAGTTTTCAAAAACTTAACAGACTTAATCGAATACAAGAAGCACACAATCGATTAAGTAAAACAGTTCAATAGCATGCAATGAACAGTTCAATAGCATGCAATGCTCCCCCTATCATTATGCATGTTTCAATCTCAAAACACATATGAACAATGCAGTAATCAGAGTGTATATCAGAGTGTATATCAGAGCATGTAAAAGCATATTCAAGCATTGTATCAGAGCAAATGTATAGTTGTAATAACAGAGCATAATTGATACAATTTCAATAATCAAACAAAGTTTATTCTCTTATCATCTCAGAACATAGATACAACAAATAAGCATAGAGATATAAGCAAAATAAACATTCGTAGAATATAAAACAAGGTTTAAAGATAACAAATATCCCAAAGTTTGGAATCTTCAAACCAGTTTCGAAACTCAATCGATTTGATCACAATCATAATCGATTTCTTGCTGTAGCATATTGTTGACTTTCTAGTTTCATCTAGCCAGCAAGTAATGTTCCTGCAAAACCTTTCATGGTCTTTATAGATCAAGCATTTTAGAATCAATATAATACATGAATTATCACAGATAATGTATGGGTATGCAAAGATATGAATGTAATAGTAAAATGTAACACATTTGCATACAATCATAGTGTAATTGATTTAAATGCTATTTTATACTACTATCATCCAAAATTCCTAGTTCATTTTGAATTGTATAAAATCTTTCTTTGTTCAATAGTTTTGTGAAAATATCTGCCCATTGATGTAAGGTATCTACATATTCGACCTTAATTTCTCCTTTGAGGATGTGGTCTCGTATGAAATGATGCCTTATTTCAATATGCTTAGTGTTAGAGTGAAGAACATGATTTTTAGTCAAATTAATTGAACTTGTGTTATCACATTTTAAAGGAATTTGATCTAATGATATGCCATAGTCCTCTAGTTTGCTCTTGATCCAAAGAGATTGAGCACAACAGCTTCCAACTACTATGTACTCTGCTTTTGTGGTAGATAATGCCACACAAGCTTGCTTCTTTGAATGCCAAGAAACTAGTGAATATACATGTGCCACTAATGCTCTTTCTGTCTAGCTTAATACCACCAAAATCAGAATCACTATAACCCTTAAAAAAAAATATTTGAACCACTAGGATAACACAGTCCAAGGTTTTTGGTTCCTTTTAAGTATTTCAAAATTCTTTTTACAGTAGTTAAGTGTGATTCTTTTGGTAAAGACTGAAACCTAGCATAGAGACAGACATTATGCATGATGTCTGGTCTACTAGCAGTTAAGTACAATAGAGATCCGATCATACCTGTGTACATTTTCTGATCAACTTCTTTGCCTGCTTCATCAAGGTCAAGATAGCAGTTAGTTGTCGTAGGAGTTGCAGCCTCTTTGCAGTCCATCATTTTGTATATCTTTAACAAATCAGCGCAATACTTGGATTGATGGATAAAGATGTCATTCTTGGTTTGCTTGACATGAAGTCCTAGGAAATATGAGAGTTCTCCCATCATGGACATCTGGAACTCCTCCTGCATAGTCTTAGAAAACTCTTTGCACAGTGTAGGATTAGTTTATCCAAAGATAATGTCATCAACATAAATTTGAACATATAATTTGTCTTTATTTGAGCTCTTAATAAAGAGAGTTGAATCAACTTTACCCCTAGAGAATCCCTTATTTACTAGAAACTCACTTAAGCGCTCGTACCACGACCTCAGCGCCTGTTTTAATCCATACAGAGCCTTTTTGAGTTTGAAGAAATAATTTGGGTGCTCATACCTGGTGGTTGTTCCACATAGACTTCTTCCTTAATATAACCATTTAGGAACACACTCTTGACATCCATTTGATACAGTTTAAACTTCATCATGGATGCAACAACAAGCAGAATCCTTATTGCTTCCAGTCTAGCCACTAGTGCATACGTATCATCATAATCAATTCCTTCTTCTTGACTGTAACCTTTAGCAACCAACCTTGCTTTGTTCTTTATTATTTCCCCTAAATCATTCATCTTGTTTCTGAAGACCCATTTAGTGCCTATAACCTATAACTTTTCGGTTCTTGGAACCAGTTCCCATACATTGTTCCTCTTAAACTGATTTAGTTCCTCTTGCATGGCCATCACCCAATTTTCATCCGCAATAGGAGCTTCAACATTTTTGGGCTCAATTTTAGAAACATATGCTACATTCATGCATAATTGATTAAGTTGACGCCTAGTGAATACTCCTCTCGTGATATCACAA